TTTTTTTCTGGGTTTTTTTGTTTGTTTGTTTGTTTGTTTTCCCGTTTTGAGCGTTTTTTAACGTTTTTGTTTATTGGCTTTGTTCAGTCTGATAAACTTTACAGCTCTTCCTTCTTGCTTCCCTGATTTTTGTATTATCCAAGAGATTTTTTAGCTTAACAAAGTTGGATACACCACTTATTTCCCTGTAAGTAGCCTGAAGGACTCTGTCTCTCGTTTCCATCCTTAAGAGGCTCTACATAGCTCCTTCCCACCACCTTTAAAAGTTTTACATTCTTCTTATGAAGCACTTTGAGAAGTATTCTTGTTCCCCCTTGAGCTGAAGCTGTTATGAGATCAGTAAGCAGCTGGAGCTGTGCTTCGTGGCTGTGCATCTAACTGAGCTGTGGGCTCCTCTTGTAGGCAAGTGTTGCGACCTTGTGCACAAGGAGTGTGTTCGCAGGCTTTTTGTCTTAATGACCAACAAAGGAAAATGTCAGTCTGCAGTGACAGAAAATACATGCTGCACACACACAGAGCCAACCTGCCAGCTTAAATCAGGGACATATTGCTGCCGCTTTGTCACGGAGGGGCACAGGCAAGCTGTAGTGCCCAAAGGGTTCTTTGTATGGATTGTTTCTTATAGTTTATTTCACAGAATCGTTTGAGTTGGAAGGAATCCCTGAAGGTCATCTAGTCCAACCACTCTGCAATGAACAGGGACACTTACAGCTACATCAGATTGCTCGGAGTCCCCTCCAGCCTAACCTTGAATGTCTCCAAGGGCAGGGCACTCACCATCTCTCTGGGCAACTTGCTCCAGTGCCTCACCACCCTTATTTAAAAAAAAAAAAAAAAAAAAAAAAAAAAACACAACCACTTTCCTTATATCCAGTCTAAATCTCCCCTCTTTTAGTTTGAAATCATTTCCCTTTGTCCTGTCACAGCAGACCCAGTCTGTCCCCTCCTTTCTTACAGCCCCCCTATAGGTATTGAAAAGCCATTCTCAAATCCCCGTGGAGCCTTCTGTTCTCCATGCTGAACATCCCCATCTCTTTCAGCCTGTCCTCGTAGGGGAGTGTTCCAGGTGACGTCGCACCAGCACAGAGCGGAGGGCAGGATCACTTCTCTCAACCTGCTGGCCAGTTTTCGACACAGCCGAGGATCCGATTGCCTTTCTGGGCTGGACAAACACGAACCCACCCAAGTGGCAGAAGGGAAGCATTGCATCAGCATCAAGGCATTCGCTGGACTGACTTTGCCTTCAACAGAGCGTGAAGCTCCTGGGATCAGGTATTGCATGGAACATCTGACATATCTGATGCAAATAACTGTCTGAAGGCGTCCCTGAACACTGCCTACCCCAAAGGACAAAAAAATTGACCTATTGGCTAAAAGGAGTGAATCCTGTCCCACTCTAACTGAGGAGCAGCGCCTTTCCATGGCTGTCACACAGAAAGCTCTCAGGACCCAGGCGCCGTCCTGCTCCTGACACCATTCTCACACATGGAGTTGGAATGTGGGCAGCCTGAAATGTTTCTAAGCATGTGGAAACAGGTGTAGTAAGTTGGCACTGCTGCACAGAATGCTCCTTAATATAAGTTATGCTATTATTCTTCCTTAGCAATGTGCCACTTCATGGACTTTAATGGCCAAGATAATAAATAATATTTTTTATCTAACAAGAGTGTCTTTGAATAGAAAAAGAGCAGGAAAATAAGGGAATGGTAAATATATTTTACCTTTTTATTCTTTTTTTTTTTTTTTTTTTCTCCCATTTGATTCTTTGGAGCTCAGCTGGTGTATAAAAGGAGTTAATGATGCTAATGAGCTTACATTTACTGTGCCTTTCTTCCTCAAGAGTCCCAAAGGGCATTACAAGCAGATATAATAAATTCACTGCTTGTTCTTAAAGGATACCGAGGAGTATTGCTCCTGGCTTTGTATGGAGAAGCAGACAGAAGTCAGCAGATGCACTGCCTTTCTGCGTATTCCTGGAAGAGCTATGCATCCTGAAGAAGAAGGTTAAGCAGCACTTGGTTTACATCAGTGGTCCTTTAATGGTGAGATAAGAACTGAGTCCTGCATCAGTTTTCCAGTGTCAGCAGTCTGTCTGTTTATAACAGAGACAATTTATTTCTAAACACAAAAAAGGTCCCATAAATTATTGTTCTCTGCTTACAGTTTTGTCACATTTTTCTTATTAACTATTTGGATTGTTAAAAAGAGCAGCAGTGGCCAAATATATATATATATATATATATTGTGTTTTGTAGCTTGTGGCCATGCAGCCCTGCTTGGAACAGAGAAGCTTGTCTTATTTGTACGGAATGATGAAAGCTTTTCTGCACTTTTGCTTTGCTGAAACCTTTACATAAAAGGGTGTCAGAAGAATGATATTCCCCAGTGGTTTCCTATCTGATTGGGTCACAGTTCTGTGCAGATTTAGGACTGGCAGATGGCCTCTGCACCTCACTGCAATGACTTCATTCTGCTGTCTGCAGAGGTCTCCCTTCGTTGCCTCTGCACAGTTACCTTTGCTGTCAGAATGGCCCCCAGTTTACTACTGCTACCCTGTTCAGTGCTGAAAGTCAGCATCAGTAGCTTTAGCTTTCCCAGTTTCTTTCATCTCAAACATTCAATTACAAATTTGCTGCAATCTGTATAATTTGTTTGTTTATCTGTGTTTTCATTTGTTTGTTTTGCATATGTCTTTATTCCTTCAGATCAGTTAGCTATTTCCTGCAGTGAGATCTTCCTTCAGGACAAAGCTCTGCTCTGGCATGTTGTGATGCCGCCTCCGGTTCCGTTAGCTTTCACAGCTCAGAGTGTGCGCTGCTGCTGAAGGAGCTGTGGAGCAGTGACAGCCCTTCCCACCAATTCATGCATCAGCCTGGAAACAGCCTTGAGAGCCACCAGCAGACAATTAGATTCATAGCACGTTGAAGGAAACAGCAACAGCTTTTTTTTTCTGTTAGATGGAGAAATGAAAACTAAAGTTTGAGATGTTTTTGCAGCCAAAGTTGGTTATAGGAAAACCAATAAATGTGTTCCTACATTAAAGAGAAAAAGAGCAGAATTTGAAAAGTTTCCAAGTCTACATTCTTCTTGTTGGTTTTCCATGACATTTTAACTATGATAAAGAAATCAATATGCTTTCAATGCTTCAGGGTGATTTTTTGTTTGACATCTCCTATAGCCATTAACAGAATACGTGATACTGCAGTACTCCCAGCCTGAGCACGTTGTGGTGCTGCACAGGAAGGGATGAGTGTTGCCTTTTCTTAGTCCTCCTCAGGGCTGCTATGCAACAGTTCATCAATGAAGAAGGAAAAGAGCAAATAATCCAAAATGATTTCTGTTCTTTTTTGGTTTTAAACTACAGTATGATTGGCTGCCTCACACTACACTCTCTTTCAATATTAAGGCAAATGCATTAGGACAAAATTTCTCCTTGCACTCATTAACTGATCTGCTGACACTGTCCTCTTACAGATCCCTGAGTTTTCATATGTATCACCTGATTAGAAAAACATGAATTCAGAGAGAACATCATTTCTGTGATCCAGTACTATTTCAGGCAGACCCAAATCCCCCAGTCAATGGAAAGCTTTTACTGTTGAACTTCGTTGCTTATATGGCTGAACCAGGCTCAGTAAATAAATGTTGGAAAGGTTGAAGATGAAATTCAAAAAGAAAATCAAAGTTTAATGATAAAAGTGGGAACTTTTTTGTAATTACTGTTGTGATTCTGCATTTATTGAGGTCCATTAGGAAAGCTTATGATGGCTCTTGAGTATAGATTGCTATTTCTGACTTGCTTCACATTTAAAATTATAATACTCTCCCTTTTAACCTTTCTCTCCCTCTGAAGCTTGAGTTCTGCTTTCAAAGGCAAGCGGTGGGTGCTCACATAGACCAAAGTGATTTGCTTTTAAGGTTATTCTTGTTTTGAAACATAATTTCCAGCAGCCCTTCTGTTACTATTAGCGATAGAAAGACAAGTGATCTATATCACATAGAAAACTAAAATGTGATTGATACTTGCATTACTGCTTTTCTGTTCTGTTTTATTCAAAAGGCAGAGCAATATATAGAATATCTAGCAACATTGATCATTGGAGACAGAAGAAGTCAATATTTTTTTAAAGGTGAATTACTTGGAGAATAGGTTACATTTATATAGCATGAACCTGGGAGAAAGGAGTAGCTATTAGTGAGAGACCATGGATAAAGCCATGGAGAAGGCAAAACCACGAGTCATGCCCATCCATATCAATTCATTCTATTTCAGGATCTCGTGTTTGGCATGAGATCCCTATTATCTGTGATCATCTTCACAAGTTTCTATGTATAATATAGTATTCAAACAGATAAAAGATCTCAGTAATCAGTGGTGCTAGAGGTAAGATATAAAGACTTCTTTTTTCGTTGTCTGAAACTCTAATTTGGGAAAAGAATAAAACCTTTCCTATTTCACCTATTATACATGATTTTAATTACAGATGTTAAGAAACATAAAGGGGCAATGAAGGTCTTATGAATGCTTGTTAAACCTTTGCAGACTTTTCAAATGCTAGGTGGCATCAGCTTTCAACATCACTGATTTTCTACAATAGTCACCACAGTGAAATTCTTTTGATCATTGCATTTCAGAAAATTCTTAGATGTTTTATATTTGTTTTGCAACATGATTTATACAAAATATTTTTTTCCTATTCTTTCTGATCTTTTTAGTTTTGTAGTATAGAAAAATAGCCATGGTGCTCCTCTTCTTTTTCATTTCCAAGTTTGAATATTTCATCTGATTTGGATTGGCACATTGACACAAACTGGTGTTCAGGGCTTAAAGTCACTCAGCATTTGTGATACAGATAATCGTCAGGAACATTGCTCCAGTCATTGCTTGCACTAGTTTATTATTTAATCAAAATCTGAAGTTCAAAGGAAATTAAAAATCATGAACAGTATGGGCTTCTAAGAACTGAATTAAGAATGAATTTTCTACGTGGGAAGCCATAGCAAATGTTTCAGAGCTGATATGGGAAACCCAATGGAAGACAGAAAACTCCATTATTCGCAGTGCTTGGAAACTCCAAGTAATGGCAATAGTTCATAGGTTCAAAAGGTTTTGGAAGCACTGTCATGCTTAGGATGGCCCTGAGTGCCTAACATATCTTCCCAACACCAGCCTAGATGGAGATGGCGATGATCACCTCTTGCATTTCCCCATGAGGCAAAGAAGAGATGGCATGTTGTTATCAAGAGTTTGGCATCATTTTCTACATTTGATTACCATTTTTTTCCTTGTCTCAGGTTGGCAGAGGCAATGAATGGCATCTCAGAAGTTGGCTTTTAACAGCCAGTACAGCTCTAAAGCAAAACAAAGACAATGAGGGAAAGAGGGACAAGAGTCAAGAAGGCTTTCAGAAAAAAAGGAAAAAGAAAAGAAAAAAGAAAAAAAGTCATCAGTGAGGAAGTAATTCTCTGGAGAGAATACAAGAAAAGAAGGACAGCCTAAAGAACAAAATGATGTGAGAGCCCCTAGGGGAGGTGTAGACGCAGCTTCACGCCTTTTCAGCGGAGAGGAGAAAATCTGTTGCTAGACTTTTGTTATCTTTCAGTGTTGTAGTCTCCTTCACCTCACACCATGTGTGGCCCTTGGGCTTATTCTCTAGTTTGAAATGCCAGAATGTATTTGCTTGTAAACACTTAAAGTCTTGTGTTGGCTCTGTGTGCTGAGGATTTTCTCCCTCCCTGTTCCTCATGAAATTACTGAACATGCTGCCTAAACATACATTCACTTTTGTGACTAATGAAGTGCACTCCAAACACTCATATGTATGCTGCTCTTCATTCCTATTGCTACGCCTGGGTCACTGTTTTGCCCATATGAGATATTTGTTTTTCTGTAGTGGGCTGTCCTTTCACTAATGAAGTAGACTTATGCTGTCTTCTCACTCTATTTTTTTTCCTTTTTTTTTCCTTTTTTTTTTTTTTGAGTTAGACACTGGTTTGTTTTCTGCCTGTTTTTCTGTTCAGTTTAGAGTTTCTCAACTGTAATTTCATCTACAGAACTCATTTACATGTTCTTTACCTTTCCTTCCAGCTTACTAATGAAGTTATTACAACAAGAAACAAGTTTATACCTTGCAGTAGACCAACTGCACACCTCCCAACAACACAGTGCAACCCACTGCCATTTCTCATCAGCCTGACTTTGTGATCCTTCAACCTGTTTTCAATTTACATGACAGTGCTTATGTCCAAAGCAATTTGAATTCATTTTGGGAGATTTAGTG